GCATAAACATGTCTGATGCAGCCCTCCTTAGATGCAATCAAGGGCTGAAGCAATTAATCACAAAATCTACATAGCTATAATCTGAGTTTGGCCTAAATATTAAATATAATGCATTTCCCCATCTTACAGGTTGCTGTTTTTTTTACTACCACTCTTTGTTATTATACGTACTGTGTAGCATACTGTACAAGCATAACACACACCACTTTTCACTCTATGTCTGGTTTTATGATTAACCACATACTACTGCAGAAAATATGTTCTCTTTGGTGAAAGACAGCTTAATAATTTTCTGCCTTCATGCTGCCACTCACAACTTTATTCCTTCCTTGACTTTTTTTAAAAAGTCTTTTTTTCCCCCAGATGTAATTTCAGAAATTCAGCCTACTGAGCAGTACCTCTCTGCACCGGTGCAGGGTAGGAAAGCCAGCTGCCATAAAAAACACATTAAGGAATTTATAACTCTATATAATTGTAAAGAACTATATAAAATATTGCACCACTTATGAAGCAGTAAAAATCTGTAAGAGTAGAGACTGATTCCCACATTACATATCCACAAAAGAGAAGAATTAAGGTCTTACAGGCAATTCTGAGAATAAAATATGTACCTATATATAGAGATAATGGCTTTGAACTGTTAGGCTTGCATACAAGTGTAGTGATCAGCTATTCACCACTACATATGTCCAAAACTACTTCAGCCTCTGTGATCTTCCTTGTACATGGAGCCTAGAGAAGGGACCATCACCTATTCAGAGTACAATCTCTCTCCCACTGTGCTGCTGTTCCTTCCTTACTGTGAAATGTTTAATTACGCAAATTAAAAAGTAGCTATTGAAGCTACATGCAGGCTACTTTCTAGTTGGTCCTTAAATTCTTCCTACTGTTGGAGTAGGTTTTCAAAACAAAATTTTAAAGTTGAACTTCCTGGAAGTTTGAAATATGCTGATAATAGCATTCTCTGATGCAAAGTCCACTAAAAAACTTTCATGCCTCAGAAATTCCACAATACTGCACATTCATTAGAGGGAATGATGCAGAAGCAACAATTCAGATATATATCCTTTGCTATTTATAAGTTTAGCAATAAAATCCGAAGTAATAAATGTTTCATTGTGATGTTGAAGAAGCCATGATTAGTAAAATGTAAAACACAGTGTTCACTGGTAGATATTAATTGAAAATTTTCAGTTTTATACCACAGTATGCTAGTTTTACCACTGTTAAAATAAACCATAGAAGGTGTAGTAATATTCAGCCTTTCTTTTAGAGAAGAAGCACAAAAAAGTGACCAGGTGTTACAATTCTGAAATGAAATCTTTTTGACTGCAAATAGAATGTTAAACATGGAACCAAACAATCCTTTCCCTCTGCTGTTCTAAGTACATTGCCTAAGTGTTATTATTCTAGGCTGAGTAATGTCTATATCTTTTGCTTTTAAACTAGATCTTTCTGCTGTGTTCTCTCATGTATTGCTCTGAAGTGTCCTTAAGCACACTGCAGTTCAGCACACCATTTTTTGGCACATTTGTTTCAGAAACAAATACACTCTTATGTGATTGTATTTATCTTCAAAAAGACAATCTATTTCTTGCTTGAAATGGGTCCGATTTTCTAAACCCTCCAACATCTCATATTTTACTTTATTCTTTAGTCTTTATAATCCTTGTTACTGTAATAGTGGCAGGTTTGATAAGTTTAAGATTCAGATCCTATCGCAGGTCATTTGCAAAGACATCAGATATCACTGACTAACTAGCTACGCTCTGAAACTGTTCCCAGGCTTGCTTTGTTAGGATCAGCTGAGTTCTGCACAGAATATAAGGCTCTTAGAGTGGCTAAAGTGAAAGGAAAAGAGAGAGAATGAAAGCAATCTTTTCCTCTTCATTACCTGATTCAAGCAACACACATTTTTGACCTGAGAAATCTTACTCACATTCTGGGATTAGATTACTGATAGTACAAAAAAATTCTGTTTGGCAAAAATACCCACGTCTCCTCCATATCCAGCTATTTAGAATTCAGTGTATTTTTAAAAATCACTTTAATTTTATGAGAAATGGCCAAGCACTGAAACAGAAGTAATAAAGAACAGAAAGCAATAAACAAAACTGTGAGACAAGTGTGTGAGTGCTTGTGAGATGAGTGTGTGAATACGTGATGGTGTGTGTCAGGCTGGACTAGCTGGTGAACAGGAACTTGTAGGGCAGGTAGGAGAGCCCAGGATGGAGGCAGGGATGTAAGACAGACAGGGGGTCTGTGCTGGTATTCAAGGCATCTGTGAATGAGGGTATGCTTGTGAATCTAGGATGTGAAGGGCATGTGTGTTTCCACTCATGAACTTCAATACCAATTAGACAGAGAAGATGACAGCACTCATGCTTAATGTTACTCACAGGTGGTGTTCCAGGCAGTGGTCCACCTGTGGCAGCCTCTGGTGTGTGTGTGTCCCTGAGACATGTGCTAAGCATCACTACTGGCTGAACCTGGAAACACTAACATTGCAGTTGCCTTTGCTGGCATGGGACAGAGAGACATCCAGGTTTCCAGCTGCACCAGCCTCGGAATCAGAGGACAAGGAGGAGGAATTCCCAGGTCCTGGGGTCTACTCAAAGCAGTAGCTTCATAATATCCCTCAGCAGAGCCACTCCAGAGTTTGGAAATGCAGGCGCTACAGTTGTTTGTACAGTCCTGATTTCACCTGGCTTGTACTTGTGTTATGTGTTTTTAATTACATGTTCTCATTTACTTTTTCATATTGTCTAGGACAGATGATGCTTACTTAATGACTTGCTGCATATCCTTTTTGTGCAGTTCCTAGGCCTCATTTACTGCACAACATTGAAACATGAATATGAGGATAAAGTGATTAATTTCCTGTCAACTCTGTCAAAAGAGTATCTAGATGCTTCACATTCAAGTGATACTTACTTCATTCACCAGATGTGAGACTGAAGCACACAGCATCTCTGTGAAAAATCACAGCTACAATTCAGTGCCTATGTGTTAGCAAGTCAGGAGCATTAAAACAGGGAACACACCATTAATTTCCCCTCTGCGAAGCCTGGTTTATCCTCAAAGATACAGACCTAACTCAAGCTCTCCAGAGCTGCATGCAGCTGCTTTAGCCGTAAGACCATTTTGTCTGCACCTGCAATCATTTGGCATGTTACTGAATTGCTTTTAACTTTTTCAGTTAATGAGAAAGAGGTATAATTTTACTACACATTTTTGAACATCACTAAAAGCAATGCTTTGCAATAGGATATATCAGGCAAAATAATAAAAGCAAAGCAAAAAACCTATACAGTTTATGCAGTCTTGTCAGCAGTCCATCTCCAAGCACATGTTGGAGGAGTTAAGTATGTTGCCCCTACCCTACTGATGAGGAAGCTAACACACATTAAATGTAAGAAATGCTTTGTTCTGTGTCACTGTTCTGCTTTGAGCCAGGATGAAGCCAAATTTATTTGTACTGATTTTTTTTTTTCCTTCAGTGCACTCTCTTTTAAGCAGCATACTTGCTGAAACTAGCAGCAAGTTTTCCAGCTGGTAGACTGAAAATGCTGGAATGTTTATAGGTATTTTTGAGAGACCAAGGACTCTTTGCTCTGCTTGTTGAATCTGCTGCTTCGACACTAAAGGAGCAGAAGTAGGGAGGAGCAGCCTAGACAGATGGCAAAACTGGCCAACCAAATTATTCCATCCATATCTATGTATCTCTCGGTATAAATTCCGGGATCAGGGAAGTCAAGTCCTTTTTCCTTTTCTGGCATCAATGGCTGGTGTCTGGGGAGGACTTCATCTATCCATCTCCTTTGATCCCTTGGCCCATGCATTCCTGACCCTTGTTATCTCTCCCCTCAGCTCCTGTCTGCTCTGCCACTATCTCTGGCAGCATTTTGGGACATTTTGGAACTGCTCACAGCTCAGAAGAGTGTTGTGGGAGTTGCTTGGGGTGGGAGGAGATGACAGGGGTTTTGCACAATCCTGCACATATTTGTATATATTTGTATATATTTTCTTTTATAACTATTTAATTATGTATATAATTTAATGTATGTATATACAATTATGTATTTAATTAAAGCAGCCTAGTTTAGTTTTCAATTTCTCTCTCCTTTCCCTTCCTGGATGGGAAGGGGATCAAAAGAATCGCTGTCATTGGTTTAATTCCAGACTCGAGTCAAACCGTGATAATCACCTATCAGGTGAATGACTCAGCTGAGAGAAGAGGCTCTCACTTATGCAGCATATTTTTCTTCAGGATTCCAAAATATTTTACAACCACGGATATTATTTACTTTAGCACCTACATATGGAAAACACAGTTGCAGAAAGACTATGTAGTAATCAGTGAGAGAACTCAGTCCCGTAATTCTGCAGTCAGTGAAGCCCATCAGACTGCATCAGGCTGGGTTGTGGAATAGTTCTGAAAATGCCACCCAAGTGTCTGGATAGCTCCAACAATACCTACATGGCCCACACATAGATATTTATCTGTTTACATTATTTAGCAGTTTATTCAGCAGAAATACACTCCTCAGATGTATCATTGCTTAGATTTAAATATAAAAATATATTTATGTTTTTTAGGTGAACAGATGTACCAGATAAACAAGAAATGTCAAGAAATTAAACTTCCAGAAAGGAACTATCAATTTATAAACAACAACAAAAAATTATACTTCTCAAACAAAATACTTGATACAGACTTTATCATTCCAGGTAAGTCTCTTATACTAAAGTGAAATGTACATAGTAATCCAGCTGAAGACTGAGGCCCACAGCATATACATATTCTTGACGAACCAAACACAAAAATCTCATGTGGCAATACTTTCTTGTTGTCTGCTGGAGTTTGTAACACAGAACAATAATTCATTTACCTGAAGGTGTAGAATGCATATTGACACTGCTCTTCCTGAACAATTGCTACTTGATTAAGAGTTTGTGTATTAAATTTTAACCCTGCGTGAATGGACACAGGCAAGGCTTTATTTCCTGTCCTTCACAGGAAGGATATCTGTAATCCAGTAGTGAAACAGTGACGTGACTATCTTGGTATGATCTGAAACAAAGAAAACACATTAGTCCTGAAATACCTTTAGGAAATTTCTCAATGTTATAGAAGAAGACTCGAGCAAACATCTGTTTCCATTCAATATTAGCATTTCACTAAAACCAATGAGGAAATCAGAACTTGAAGACTAATACATACAAACTTATAGATAAACAGGTGCATTTTCTTTCAGGAGGTCAATTATTTGTATGAAACACAATTTTTGTTCTCTATTTTGGAATGTCTTATTTGTTAAGATACAGTAATTCAGAAAAAAAGATCAAAATTACATGATCATAAATGTAAGGCTAAAAGAGTGCAATCTTCTTCAACTCCTTCTGTCTGGAGAGTAATTTCACACATTATTATTTATCCTACAGTAGCACCTAGTAGTCCCAGTTGAGAATGAGTTGTCATGCACAGACAGCTGCATTAAAGCATCAAAATGCATGGCTTCTGTCTTCATTAAGAGATGATTTGTGTGATTGTATTTATTTCTAAAGACAGGACTTTCTACAGAACATAACATAATATCACATTTAAGATGATTCTATACAGGTTTTCCATTTTATTTCCTTTTCTTTGAATGTTCATAAAAAAAAAAAGTTAAATTTAATCCTTTTAGGGCCTCTATGTCTCCAGCCTGTGCACAGCAACTATTACTTCTGGTCTGCAAAATGTATCTCTCCAACCCGTGCAATGGAGACATATATAAGGGACAGCTCTCCAAAAAAAGGTAGTTAAAAGAAGCTTCTAGCTCTTCAGTGAGTGGTAATTTCCTAGGCAACAAGGGAAGAGTATATTTGAGACTTGGTACTAACCAGCAAAAGGAAATGTTAATAGATGATGGAATGAAGTTGATGAGTAGAAGCTGAACCAGTTCATAAATTAGGAGATAATTACTCTTTTTTTTTTTTTAAATTAGGCAACCACCTATGCTTTAATAATTGATGTGAAATGGGAATTAAGTAGCCCTCATTTCAAAAGCTACAGTTTCCAACCAGCAAATGGAGCATTATTTCTAGTCACAGGTCTTCTCCTTTGCCCAGCGCACTGCACAGAATCCTGCTGGTGTCTGGCGTCCTTTTTTGCACATGGCCACTGACTTTCTGACTGAGATCAGCCAAGCCCACGTCACAAGAAACATGTGTGCCTATGTTAATTTTAAACATTCTCTTCCTTGCACTTATAAAAGAGTTTACTTAGATGTTAAGTACTTCTTTTCAAAGACTATTAGATAAATGGAAATACTAGTAGGACATTTCATTCTTTTTTACAGCCTGAGAACAATGACTCTTTAAATAGCCATGTTCAAACAAAAACTTGACCAACCTCAACTTTGCATGATTGCTGAAGTACAAAGTTAGAAGTAACTTGATGGAGTAACTTGAAGGATAAAGTATAAGGTAAGTTGATGGAGAATGACAACTAGACAGAACCACAAGTCTCTCTTAATCCTAAAGATTTTCTTGTTCAAGTATGTTTTCTTATTTAAATCAAGAGTTAAAGATAATACCTTGATATAGATAATTTTTCTTTTTCAATCTGCTCAGCAAGTTCCTCTTCCTGCAGAAATTTTCAGACCCTACCACCAATGTTGTTAGATCTTTCTTTGATGCAAAAATTGAGATCTAAGAGTTTAAGATAAAATAGTAGCTTGTTTCTTGTTTCTTTTTTCTTTTGGTTGAATCACAATTCCCAATCTGAGTAACATGCTAAGGGGTGTGAAGGAAATACCAAAACATGATCCTGGTTTACAAATTTGTGGTCTACAGACCTTGGGCAGCCCATAGCTTTACTCTAAAGGGTCTGTAAAAACTTAATAAGGAAAGTAAGTTTATCGTCAGTAGGTATAAACTTGCCAAGTGGGACTTTGTAGCCCCAGTGGAAAATTAGATTAAGCCAGAACATATATATATATATATATATATATATATGAAGAAAAAAAAGATACATAATGGTATGCTTAATTCATAAAGTTTACTACTGAAGAACCTGCACTTATATGAAAGAGATGGATCACTTCTCATTTTTTTCCCTACTCTTTTCTTCCTTGAAGACAAAACTGAACAAAACATAGCACACACGATTATTCCGTTGATGCTAGCATCTTGAGTAGACTCATAACCATGGGACAAAGGGTTAACTTGTTTTTTGAACATTTGAACTACAGGGAATAAAACAGGTTTATTTTGTAAAAATAATACTGCCTTTCTAAATTTAAAAAAAATAATTTTATTTTCATAATGTTAATAAGGAATAACCTCTTCTAGTACATCATGCCCCAGTAAAAATAAACAAAACTGAAAAAATAATCAAACTTGTAAAAAGATTTGAGATCACTATGATGTAGTGTACATTTTTATCTTCATGAACAATCCCAACCTGTAATTCCGTAACAAGACCTTGAATTATTTGAGAGAAAAAGTTTTTGCAAAAACTCTCAATTTTTATCACCTGTTAATTTGGAATTAAATTTTAAATTAAAACAAACAAACAAACAAAAAAAAACAAACAAAAAAAGTTGGGAAAGATGACCTATTTTTGGGCCAAAAGTAGGAAAAAATATAATTAAAAGTGTGATCCGAGGTAAAGTTTCAGAGCGCTATACTCTCATTCACTGGAATTCCTGAATTACAAATAGAATGTATTATAAAATTCTGCTTAGATGAATTAATATCTAGCAGGTGTTTAAGTATCCTTTAATAATTAAAAACCAATGTGTTTTCCTCTTTCTTATGTTGTTGTACCTCATGAATATAAAATCAGCTATTATGGTTACACCACTGTGAGCTTGAAATGAGATTAGAATTAAGCCCAGAGTGACAACAGTTACTAGGAAAAAAAATCAACTAGAAGAGTAAACTAATTCAGGCTGCATCAGCTGCAGCATCCATCAATTTTAAAAATCACTCAGTAAATCATCTTCTGCTTTTACAAGTGACAAAAAACACATCAGCAAATTAGGGTAGTTGCATGTATTTGTCTCTAATTTGCTTCTGTATTCTCTCTTCAGTTTGATCTTCATGCTTCAAAAACGTAAACAAAGTGGCTTGTCTAAAGGCTGCAAAATCAAACAGAAT